TTGTCAGTGTCTCCCCACCTTGTACCTTGACGAATACATGTGCCTCAACGGGTTTTCCCGCTAAGTGAGTATTCGTGATTCTTTTGGTATAAAGTCTTTGAGTAGTTAAGCTATACTCTTACAACAGGGGTAAGTCACAGGGTAGGATAAATACATGGTAAATGATCATTGATAATTAATAGTTGAACACTCAGAGTACTCCTTTCTATGGCATTAGCATGACTAAGTAGATACAATAGAGAAACTAATTCCTAAGTCATTCTTAATTACAAGTCAAAGCACACTATGATTAGTGCAATTACACTTAATAATCATGGCTAAGATCAACTTCATATCTACACATAAGGGATATTACTAAGGAAGATCATGAACAGAGCCTGACTTCCTTTGCAACTAGATCCTACTTGTCCTATATTCGGGGAGTGAACTACAAAGAACTCAACGAGAGTGTCACACTCGCGATCTACCATATGGCCTGGAATATAGGGTGCATCCACAGGTAAATAACGTATAAGCACCACGCTTACACAATGTCGACCACTCACCCCGTATACTTTAGTATGAGTGCTATACGAACTTATGCTTGAACATAAAGACAATCTAGCTATATTAAGCATATAATCAAAGTAGACAATGAACATGATAATTAGGAACATGAATAATATTGAGAATAATGTCATATCAATTGTAGCAAACATATAAAATATAAAAGATACAAAAGAGGATACAAGGGCTATACCAAGCCACGCTCTTGACAAGTTCAGGAATTCAAGCAGGTGGCTTGCCTCCCTCTAGATCTAACCTAACTAGCTATGCCCTAGAATATTTGTGGAGCTCTGAGGTTCTTCTCTTGATGATGGATGAAGATTATGATCAATGATGCCTGAGGGGGGTATGGGCTGATATATATAGGGGGACCCATCAATCATGAGCCCTCGGATCTAACCAACTTAAAGCAACAGCGTAGATGCAATCCTTAAGGCATTGGAGAACCGACGTAGAAAAGTGAGGCTGACATGTGGGCCTAGGGGGCCGGCCAGCCCCACCTGGCAGTCTCCTGCCCTCTACCATGGTGAGTTGCCTTCTGGTGTCTTCTAGAGTCTTCTAGGGTTGATTTCATCGTGGATAAGCATGATTAATTCTAATGTTTGGTTCCACCTTGATGGTTTTCTAGATAAACCCTGCAGAAAATACAGATTCACGAAAACTCATGGAATTTGTTAGTTTAAACCCCTAAACCTATATTGGTGATCATTTTCATGCATTTATTCAAGTTATATTGATGGTTTATGATGGGTGTTAACTACCGTCAACACCTACCTTTGTCCCACCTAACATCGATCGGGTTACGAAAACCACGCTGTCTAGCAAACTCACGCATCTTCTTTATGTGTTGTTTAACGAAGAGGTCGACGAGCTGAGATCCACACCCCATCTTCTGTCCCATTACTTGCTTTGCTTGATTGTATCCAAGAACTTCGCTTGACCATCATAAGATTCCCACTTACATTTCCTAGTGCTCTGTTGAAACAAAAAATTAGATCATAAGTCATTACACAAGAAAAATTCGATTTCATGTTTTTCACAACAATAACCAACCTCATCGTAGTCAACCATATGGCCGCACCAATGGCCTATTCCAAGCTCCGAAGGGACTAGACCGTAGTTCGCTTTAACACCACATTCGCACAAGACAGGAGGTGCTTCGATGATTATCCTTTCTTTCTTCTTTTCCTTTTCCTTTGGCTCCAACCAATGATTCTTAGGACCATAGAGCCACTCTCTGAAATGACACTTCGCAAATCCATGGCGCTAAAAGAGGATAGATTATTACATGCACACATAGAGCTAAACAGTTTAACAGATACACTTTCCACTTACTTCGTCCTTGTTGGAACAAACAAACTCTAACGAATTCGAAGGGGATATCATAGCTCGATCTCCACAATCGCACAAAGGAGATTCCTCGAGTCGTCTAACTGCAGCTACGTGCTTCTCCTTAGCCGTCATTGGCGGAGGGTTATGGGGAGGTGAAAGCCACCGCTCGAAGTGCTCACGTGGATATCTCCCTCTCCACCAATCGTCAAAAAGGAGGTATCTTGGGTCAAACTTGTCTGGATCGTCGATCCATTGAAAGAAAAACACCTCTCATGGTCCTACACAACATGATTCTAACAAAATATTAGTAAACTACTAACACAAACGAAGAAAAAAAGATACAGAATGAATTACTTACATTAAAATGACTGTATGTGTAGAAGCAACGCAGCTCTGTCTAGATGTCTCGATTGAAACACGTTGGCCGGGAAACCACAGTCATAGTTAGGGACAGGGAGGTCAGGAGGGACGAGGGCATCTTTGCTAGACACGTCAGGGTATAATTCTCTAGGACGACCCTGATTTCGCCAAAACTGTTCCCGATACATGTCTTGCATCTAACAAAACTATTGTAATTTAACACCAATCAAAACATCATAAATTAATATAAAACAACAAAAATACTAAGGCAATCTAAAGGTAAACATAGTTCTATATAACTAATAAAATATGGTAAACATGGTAAACATAGTTCTAAATGTAAAACTAAGAAAATATAACATATACTTACGAACCAAAATTTACCTTAGACTCAACATGGTAAACATAGTTCTATCTAACAAATTAACCTTAATATAGACAAAATGAAACTAATATTTTCATCCAAATCCTAGCTACCCATAGTTCCCAAATATACTTTTCCTCCTAACCATAGCTACCAATTCTAATATTTGAATCCACCATTCAAACAACAAATAAGAGTATCAATACCTTGACCGAGGCCGAGGAGAAGCTTGGGGGCAGAGAGGGAGGGAGGCGTCCAGGGAGGGCCGGGCGGCTGCCAACCACGGGGGAGGCGGGAGGCGACGGTTCGGGCGCCTGGAGCTGCCTCTAGCTCTGTTCGAAGTAAGGCAGTAAAAAGGGAGGAGCCTACGCGCGACACTAAGTCGGCCTTGCCGCGCCATGCGGGCTGGCGCGGCAGTGCCACGCCCTAATCCGCGGCGCGGCAACGCCGGCTACGTCAGCGGCCAACGGGCTACGGTGGAGGCCCTGCCGCGCCGTCATGCATGGCGCAGCTGCTTGATTTGGCCGTCCCACGACAATAGGCGCGGCCAAAGGTGTTAGTTCTGAAAAAAAAACTTAAACATTGTTAAATTTGGAAATAGTTTTAAAAAAGGATTAAACATAAAAAAAAAATTTAAGCCAGTCAGCAATTTTGAACGAAGAAATCTATAACAGTCTCTGTACCTTGGACTGCAAGTCCGGAACCCAAATTCCCAATGGGACAACGGCTATGTAGCCGCATCTAGTATATCCATATAAAAATGGTACCATATCCATGGTTCTGAGTGGAGGATTGTGATGTCGATGGGTTCGGGAAGACGACAGGAAAGGGGCGTCGCAGTCGCAGCATACTGGTTTTGTATCCTTGCGTTTAATCATCCCGTTGATGCAGTCTTTTTGTTTTTTTTTTTGTCTATTTTTATGCCGGCCTTCGGTGGCTGCCAAGGAGTACAAGTGGCACAGTTTAACCTAGTTTAATTCAAGTTTTTTTCCTTAGGGCTTCCCCAACCAAAATCTCCACGCTAACTCGGAATGACGTGGAGGCAATAAAACAGGTGAAAAACTACTCGATAGCGATTCACTCGTCGCTAGCTCGGAGCTACGAAGACGAGCGTGCGAGTGATCAGAAATCTCTGCCTTTCTCCGACAGCCAATACGGAGAGGAGCAGTGAAATTAATTTAGCAAGTCAGCCGGCGATTCAGAGAGATGTCGTGTCATATGGGGTGTTTTGATATTAATAAAAAAATAAATTATATAATCCGTTAGGAATCTACGAGATGAATTTATTAAGCCTAATTAATTTATTATTAGCACATGTTTACTGTAGCACCACATTGTCAAATCATGGACTAATTAGGTTTACAAAAATTGTTTTGCAAATTAATCTCAATCTGTGTATTTAGTTTTATAATTAATCTATATTTAATACTCTATACATGTGTCCAAATATCCGATGGAACAACAACTAAAGTTTAGGAGATGGAACCAAATACCTCCTCAGTAGCAACCATTGTGGACGCCCTTATAATACATAATATCTCTATTAATTAATGGTTCTCACTTGTGAGTTGTCAGAAAAAGTGTAGATTGTCAAAAAAAAAAAGGTAAACATTTCTATGTAGTGCATTAATATGTTCTGTGCACAAGGTTACTACGGATTCATTTCCAATTCTAATACATAGAATCAGAAATGAATTCATTTCTGCATCACACACTATCCAGTCAGTCTTGATAAAGAACTTCATACAGTGTCTTCTCATGTGTGAAAAATTTATATTTGAGGGAAGGAGAGGACCAAATTGTACCGGGCAACAAACTCTTATCCACATAGTATGCGTTCCGCACACCCTTAACATATCAAAAAAACAAAAATAAAAATGATGGAGTACCATATTGCAGTGTGAGCTTCATGTGAGTATTCGGCAGCCCTTGTGTTTGTTTGGGATTTTAGTAATCAGAATGTGCCTATTACATAAGCTGTACTTTGACCGCTTCCAATACTAGTTCTTGGCAGCCACGGCACCTGCATAACTAAACGCTCCTTCCATCCATAATAATTTAATAAAAAGGGTCTAACTTGTCTATGACTCTATTTGGTTTAGGGTGACTAAACTTTATGAACTAAACTGTAGTCACTTTTAGTTCCTAAAATACCAAACATGGTAACTAAAAGATGACTAAAATAGTTTAGTCCCTTTAGTCTCAAGGAGGAACTAAACAAATAATTTAATAAACAAATAATTTAATCCCTAAAATTTAGTCACCCCAAACCAAACTCTATCTGGGCTTACTCCTACATCATGTATAAATCCTTCCCTCCGGTCGTCCTTGCTTCTCTGCCCTCTGCTCCCCATATCCCTTCGAAGTTCGGATCGCACGCTTGTGAACCCTGATCATCATGGAGAACAAGGCAGCTACAGAGGAGCCCCTGCTCGTGTCGCGGTCCGAGCACACGGCCGCGGCGGAGGCCAAGCGGCTGCTGAGCCTGGCGGGGCCGCTGGTGGCCAGCTGCATCCTGCAGAACGTGGTCCAGCTCGTGTCCGTCATGTTCGTGGGCCATCTCGGTGAGCTACCCCTCGCCGGCGCCTCCCTGGCAAGCTCGCTCGCCAACGTCACCGGCTTCAGCCTGCTCGCCGGCATGGCGAGCGCGCTGGACACGCTGTGCGGGCAGGCCTTCGGGGCGAGGCAGTACGGCCTCCTGGGTGTCTACAAGCAGCGCGCCATGCTGGTGCTCGCGCTCGCCTGCGTCCCGATCGCCGTGGTCTGGGCCAACGCCGGCCAGATCCTCGTGTTCATCGGCCAGGATCGCGACATCGCCGCGGAGGCCGGCGCCTACTCCCGGTGGCTCATACTGGGCCTCGTCCCCTACGTCCCGCTCGCGTGCCACATCCGGTTCCTGCAGACGCAGAGCATCGTGGTGCCGGTCATGGTCAGCTCCGGTGTCGCTGCGCTGGGCCACGTCTTGGTGTGCTGGGCGCTGGTGTTCAAGGCCGGCATGGGCAGCAAAGGCGCTGCGCTGAGCAGTGCCATTTCCTACTCCTTCAACCTGGCCATGCTAGCTCTCTACGTGAGGTTCTCAAGCGCGTGCAAGAGGACATGGACTGGATTCTCCACGGAGGCTTTCAGAGACCTTCTCCGGTTCACCGAGCTCGCCATCCCGTCGGCGATGATGGTCTGGTGAGACAACTAGCTCCTACATCTTTCTTTTCTTGAGAAATTCAGTATTCCATTCCATGTTTGTTGCCTATGTACATTGATTCAGTATTCCATTCCCTTTGCACATGCAGCTTGGAGTGGTGGTCCTTTGAACTGCTTGTGCTTCTCTCTGGTCTGCTGCCCAATCCTAAGCTTGAAACCTCAGTACTGTCGATATGGTAATTAAATGTCAATTCTCCAAAAAATCTTCTTTACCTTTTCCATGTTTCTGATTACCTTGTTCATGAATTCTGTAGTCTAAACACTGGTGCTTTGCTGTTCATGGTGCCATTTGGTCTTTGTACAGCCATAAGGTACGAGGTTATATATATGAACAGAGATATATTGCTTCCTTCTTGTATATTGGCGTATTCATATTTCCTTTTTCACCCCCTCTGCAGCACACGTGTTTCAAATGAACTTGGTGCCGGTGAGCCCCAAGCAGCGAAGCTAGCAACTCGAGTGGTCATGTGTATCGCTTTGTCTACAGGCTTGCTGCTCGGCTCTACCATGATTCTGCTACGCAATTTCTGGGGTTACATGTACAGCAATGAACCTGAAGTCGTCACATACATTGCTAGAATGATACCAGTTCTTGCGATATCGTTTTTCACAGATGGGCTCCATAGTTCTCTATCAGGTTAGTCACATTTTTACATCTCAATAATTTACTCTCTTCAATTCATATAAGGAGTTCAGAAAACTAAATGAAGTGGAACGATGTTGCATGATTGATGATTCTGTAAAATTATTCAGGAGTGGTGACTGGATGTGGTGAGCAGAAGATTGGTGCACGTGTTAATCTCAGTGCGTACTACTTGGCAGGCATTCCTATGGCCGTGTTGCTTGCATTTGTCCTCCATCTGAATGGAATGGTAAATTCTCTTCCAATCAATTTTTGACAAAATTGCATAGAAATTAGCATGTGAGCAAATTCCTCCCTAAGACTGAAGAAGTTGTTGTTCCTTTTATTTGCTAGGGTCTGTGGCTGGGCATCGTTTGTGGCAGCCTCACCAAGCTTGTGCTGCTCCTGTGGATCACACTGCGGATAAACTGGGAGAAAGAGGTAAAATATACTATTGGAGTATCACAACACCACATCTGATCTGTCACATTTTATTTGGACAGTCAAGTGTGATGCTTATTCATGTTTTTCAACAAATTTTTTTTTTCAGGCAATCAAGGCAAAAGAAACGGTGTTCAGTTCATCTCTTCCCATAGCATGATAGAGTTATGTGCAACTTGGCATAAAAACACCATACAATGGATCTACTGCTGCTACACTACCTTCCCATTGAGAGACATTAGGATTATATATGTTCTCTAACATGTTAGCTAGTAAATAGATTCTGTTATTAAATGTCGTTATCATCAGGGATATGATATGATAGTGTCTCTATCCATCATAGAGGTTCCACTGCTTACTGTAACCTCTCAAAATCATTATTATAAATTAATATCTTTATTCATTTCAAAATTTCCAATGTTTTCCTCATTTTTCTGAACACTTAGCATTTCTCAAGATATTAAAATAATATTCAGCTTCTGAATTGGATTTTTACATGTCAAAAATATTTCTATCTACTAGTGCCATAAACTTTGACGTCATATCTGACACCATAAGATCAATGATGTACATTTAATATATATATACACACAAAACTCCAATTGGACCATTCTTAGCTATCCCATATCTCTTGTCAGAACGTGAAAACTATCATGCATCATTGTCATTTGGCTCAATCAAGCTAATTATATTTCCTGAAAACCATTACAGTTTTACAAAACTTAACACTCGCTAGATAGAGAGAGCTCTGTCCTATCACTTGTTGCCAAGAAAGATGAATCCAAAATTACTGGATCTGGTTCTTCTTGTCTTCCCATAATTTTGATACTTTGAGATGTTCGTCAGTTTTCCCAACTATATAAAGATTTCCGCACTACTACAGAATCGATTTTTAGGGGCGGCTCGTAACCCTTTGTAGGGGCGGTTTGGCCAGCCGCCCCTACCGAACCGTCTCTACAAATCATGCATTTGTAGGGCCGGTTCCCAGGCTGCCCCTACAAATCGATTTGTAGGGACGGCTTGTGTTACCAGCCGCCCCTACAAATCGGGCGGCTCATATTACCAGCCGCTCATACAAATTGATTTGTAGTGGCGACTGTAGTACCAGCCGCCCCTACAAATTGTAGGGGCGGCTGTAGTACCAGCCGCCCCTATAAATACCTGTTTGTAGCACTACTACAGAATGGACTTGTTGTCCCGGACGGTAACGGCCTTTAGTCCCGGTTACCGCGCCGGGACAATGATCCCGGGACTAAAGGTGCCACCTTTAGTCCCGGGTCATCGAGCCGGGACTAAAGAGAGACCTTTAGTCCCGATTGGTGTTACCAACCGGGACTAAAGGCCCTCCAGCCGAGCAAACGTGGCCGCACCCTTTAGTCCCGGTTGGTAACCCCAACCGGGGCTAAAGGTTCCTTTTCTTTTCTTTTTTTTTTGTTTAATTTGTTTTCAGTTCAGTTACACGTATTTGTTTAATATATAATATATTTTTATGTACGTATTCTACGTTGCTAATATAAATACACGCACGCATATAATTACATCTAATTCTCATCTCGAACATTATTATATTCGAATAAAGTATGAACCTATATATATTATAGATATATATATATATATATATATATATGTATATATACAACACTTTCATAATCTTGTTCTCGAAAATAACGATATCAATAAACATTTAATTTACACCATTTATTCCTTAGGATCAAAGTAGAACTTGCCATTGGGATTTAGCACTTTTTCTAGAAGAAATCCTGCTATTGACTCTTGAACTGCTTTCAGATGGTCTTTTTGCATGACCCTTCGTTTCAACCATTCAGTCTTGCATTTGAAATAAAAGAAAAAGTATTAATACATATATATATATATATTCATTTAAAAATAAATAAAAATTTGATATATACGTACTCTGAGGACATCTTTAGGAGTTCTTCTTATGTGCGCAGTGATAAATTCACAAACGTAGTATCCACACAAGTTATTACCTGGTTGCTACCGCAAACACCATTATACGAGAAGAAGATTTTTCTCATCATCTCACACGTAAATTGAAGTACGATATAGTAATTAAACATGTGGGGAAGTGTATATAGTACAACTTACTTGTATTTCAACTACATTAAGTGGTGCCTTGCAATCATTGCGATGTTGCCGAATAAACTCTTTCCAAACCCTGTGCGACTAATAATGTACGATCGTTAATAAATTATGGCAAAGTCTATTCAATAATAGTTGTGCGCGAGAGATCGAAATTACCCCTAAATAATATCTATCATATCTTGGTATAGTGCCCGCTCTTTTCTCAACGAGTCAAAGATTACTAACCGACTTGAGTTTAACTCAATGACAATGAGTATCCAGTGAAAACTGCATTGATTTATACACACACGTACATGCATATAAGTTGTATTGATATTACATAAAATGTATAGACTACATTATTATTAACACTTCCTCAAAGTTGTACGGGAAAAGTATTGTTGTCTTGTCGTGCTGCTTCACGAAGAACATCATGATATTCTCATGTGCTTCAGATACCCACCGCTCCTTTATAATAATACCGGTTTTGAATACGATATAAGGATCAATGAAACCAACACTGGTGTCTTGTATTATTTGGAGCTCTGACATCTGGAATCTGTATATAAATATAAGTTACATGTGAGGATAATTATATACACGTACGCATGGAAGTGAGTTTATTAAATAAAAGTAAGAATCACTTACAAACAAAAGGAGCTAATGATTGATTTGTCCAGAGCGTCCAAGTGGTATAGTTGATGCAATTCTTCGAAACTAATATGTAAGATGTCATCACCACGGAAGTAATGATGGTCTCTAAATCTGACAAAGATCCACTGCTCACCCCTGCCACACGCCTACATGTACCACTTGTTGAGCAAATACATTTGTGTTCCCAATTCATTCAGAGCCGCAGGGTTGTACAGACTTTTGCCATATTTATAAGTCTTCCAGGTATCAACTTCCAGGTTCTGGATTGGAGCTTTGCCCGTCAATTGATCCAAGGTTAAACCAATATCTTCAAAAAAAGCATTAAGGGCTTGAACCGACACTTCTCCAGAGTTGTCTAGTCGATAGACTTCTATGTTGGAACCATATTCATTAGCAACAACAAGATTTTGCATTGGTTGTTTCTGTTGTCCGAGCTGTGGGACATCCTTCCCTGATGCTCTTTTCCTTTTCTTATCTGCATCATGTGACTTCACGAGGCAGCGGTCATAGTCTGATAGTGGCGAAGGCTTACGAAGTTCAATCATCTTTTTCTTGTGAGCATCGACCTTCTACCTCAGCACATCTCGTGGTATGTAAAAGTACGGTTTCTCCTTAAGCTTCACTTGACTCTTGTTTTTGATATCTATAAAAAAATCTTTTACTTTTTTGTCTTCTTCAGCTGCTATTTGCTCATCAGTCTTTTCAGGAAGTATTTCTTGAGAAATAACTCTTTTTCTCGGGGTCTTCTTTGCCGCCGGGACCTTAGACATCTTTGTAGTGCGTCGCTGTGGAGGGGGTGGGGGCGGTGTTGGAGACCGGCGTGGAGGCGATGTGGCCGGTGTTGGTGGAGACCGGCGTGGAGGTGTTGGAGATCGTTGTGGAGGCGGTGGGGTCAGTGTAGGAGTTGGAGATCGTTGTGGAGGCGATGGGGCCGGTGTAGGAGTTGGCGATCGCCGTGGAGATGAAGTCGTCTCGCCTCCCGCGACGCTGTGATGAGATGGGGAATGAATGATTAGGCTAGGCTGGGGGGAGACCCTGCTACAAAAACAAGTTGTGTGTCAATTATTTTTGAAGCCAATAGAAAATTAATGGAAAATAATATTTCATTCACTTTCATTCGTACCTAGGGTGAGGTAGGGGAAGCGGTGGCGCCCCAGGAATGATGATGAAGCATTTGCGCCATTGAATAAATGTCTTCTCCGCTTCTCCTAGTGTCTTCTCCCTATCACCGCCTTCAATGTCAAGAGGAACATTGCTGTAACCTTTGAGCACTCTATCGACCGAGACGCTAGCATATCCAGGTTGAATAACTGACCCATGGATTCTTGGTGTCTTCGTTCGGTCTATTGGAGATACAACCCCGACAGCCACCATGATTGATGCATTATTACCATCTGGAATGTGCAGCTCACATGTTGTTAGAGACTCGGTAATGTCATCAACAGGGAAGCGTAACCCAGCGTCGTCTTGAATAACTGGCAGCTCCATAGAAGCACAACTGCTTTTTATCTGACCAATGGGGCTAATGGTGACTCCCGGCATTGATTGCGATTGCATTTGACTCATTGCTAGCTGCACTTGCCTCTTGATCTCCTCCTGCATTCTTACCTCAAGAGATTTTTCTCGTTCACATGATTCAAGCAATGCTTGTCGTGACTCATCAATAAATTGCTCCAATGCACGGATTCATTCTACCTCCTCATCCTTCTTTCTCTGGCGGCTTCTGTAGGTATCCTTGTCTACTGGGAATGCGTGTAGCCATGGAACCACCCCATAGCCTCTTGTTTGACCACCGTGTTCGGGATTCTCTAGGGCATATGTCAATTCATCCTTCTCTCTGTTGGGCTTGAAAACACCACTATCAGCTTCTTCCCTAGCACGAGCTAGTCTCTGTTGCTTGCTCTCTCAATTTTTGGCCAAAAATTAGCTTGCCGTTGTTCTGGGTCTAGGCTTCCCCATGAGCGTAGAACCAATTCTTCACGCGTTGAGGCCAGCTTCTTCTCTATTGTTTCGTGTATGATTCCCTTGGCGTAATCTCTACGCTTCTAGGTTCTCGCCACTTGGGAATAGCACTCCTATAACCACCGATCCCATGCGATGATGGTATTGCTTCATCCGGGCATTCTGTCGATTCCTCATCACACGCGTTCCTCACTTGTCTTGAGATGTCTTGTATTCTATGAAGACATCCCAATGGGACTCAACTTGACAAACGCCTTAGCATTGAAATCCGGCGTAGCATTCTTCAAGATAAACTTTTTATACAATGTCTTCTTCCAACTCGGAACAATGTTGCCATCTTCTTCATTGTCCAATCCTCACTAGCTCCTTCAAAGCATCATCTCGCTTGTAATGTGAAATGTTGAGTGATATCTCTCCAAGCTAGGTTCTTGTCACGATCGATACAAAACTAACATTAGG